TTTGGTTCAGCTAATAAATTGCATTTAAAATATATTGATTCCTGTAATAATAATTATTTATTCATGTGATATTTATAAATCTGGGTGCGTTTTTGGTTGGAAATCAATGAAACATGGTACTGTATTACCTGGTCTCCCCTGTTTATTGTCACAGCTCATACAATAAAGCAAACACCCATGATAAACTATGCTTTTCTATCTAACGTTAGTAATTGCTGACTCTTTATTCCAACGCTGAGCGAAGCGAACTCTCTGCTCCTCGTCACGGTGCGTCTCAGGTGATTGTTATCACTCTGCCCAAGTAGCAGTGCTTCCCCTTCAGAAAATATAGTATTTATACGGTCAAAAGATGTCTGTGTCTCATATGGCCTTGATATTTGCACACTCTGTGACTATACAAACCACAACATGTAAATAGGAAAACGTTTGCGTTATTTTGTCACTCATTTGGATTAGTATGAAAGCTGCAACCATTCACATCCAGTCTTTGTGCTAAGCTAGGCTAGCGGTGGGTGCGTCAAACAGACTTATAGCACGCACGGAGATGAAAAAGGTATGTATGGACTTATCTAACTCTGGGGGGTAAGGTGAATAGGCTAAAGTCCCAAAAAGTCGGAGTGTTCCTTTAAGTCTTGCAAGATCACTCACGGTTGTGTGGCGCGTTTTACAGCCATCCGGCGGCGCGATGCGGAATTGCAGGCGCTCGCGCGCGCGTGTCAGTTTAGAGCACACACACACATATACACTAGAGTCAGGTATCTCCTCTCCGCGTGTGATTGTTTCTCTGTGATGCTCGCGCGCGTCGGACGAGCGGATTATCGCAGCTGATTGTCAGTGTGGAATAAGACGCTCTTCATCTTCATCTTCACCCTTCTCACCAGGCTGTTTCTGGCTGGAGTGACAGATATAAAACCTTCTTCCGGATCCTCAGCGTACCTCTGAAGGCTTTTGGGTGAGTCTTCGTCCTCTTGATCTTTGTCAGCACCTTCATCGTCCTCATCTTCTTTCCCATGTACTGATGATTGTATGTTTCTCTCGTGTGTTTCAGTCAGTGGTTTGTGATCTTCAGCGTTTGGAGTAAGTACAGACACTTTCACTCACTAGAAGTGTGTGTGTGGATCGGGACATGTGTGCAGAAACTCCCTGTGTGTGTGTGTGTGTGTGTGTGTGTGTGTGTGTGTGTGTGTGTGTGTGTGTGTATCTGAGGGTGTGTAATATGAGGTCAGACTCTTGTGTGTCATACCTTCAGGAGTGCTAGCCTGTGTGTTAACCAACATGTTTGCATGAAGTGTGTGTGCTTCAGGCTTGTTGTTGGTTTAAGGATTTCTGTGTCTCTGATGATGAAAATGTCAGAAAGCTACAAACTCGCATCTATTATTCTTTTATTGGCATACTGACTTCTTGTGGCTTACTGTATGTGTGTGTGTGTTCTGGACTTTGGGGTCAGTGGTGCTTCTGTGGTTCGTTATGGGATTTCTGGGTTTCTTATGATGATGACGAAGAAGAAAATGTCTGATCAGGCAGACAAACCTAGTCCAAGTGTGTGAGTGTGTGTCTTTAGCTGTAGATTGAGGACAATTTTTATTTCTCTAGAAAGTGTGATAAATCTGACAAACCTCCATCCAGAGATGTCTTAATTTGGACACTCATATTACACATAACATATTTATAAATATTTAATTCTAAAAATGCATGACTTTTCTTTTAGTGTTTGTAGTAGTAGCCTCATATCCATCATGATCTAATTAAAAGTGCTCTTGTGTGCTTTGTAAAGTGAATTCATTCTGTGTTCAAATGAATTACTCCAGCAGCTCCATCAGCAAAAAACTAGTAGGCTAATTAAAGCCTGCTTCATAATCATCATCATCATCATCATAATCATCAACACTTGCACTTTGACTTTAATTTTGTAAATCTAATTGAAAGACTTTATTTACAATGTTTTTTTCTGCTCTGTTTTATAGTCAAATTCAGGCTGCTGGTGTTGCTTTGAGTGCCTGCTGTCTATCAGTCTCTCTTTCTGTCTGTAGTTGATCCTTTCTTTTACGGTGCTCCTGTGATGGTTTTTGTATCAGTAAAGCAGCGGCTTACAGAACAGTGGGATTTGGGACTGTGTGTGTGTGTGTGTGCACGCACGCCCATTCATTTGGATTGTGGGAATCCTGCGAGTGCTGTGATTACTGGTGCTTGTGGATCGGGATAAGGCATGTTCTTCTTATGGATAATGCCCATGTCGCTCTGCTTGGCCGCTGGACTGTTTAAAGTTTGAAGCAGAAAGATAAAAACTCAAATGAAAAATGTTTTTAGGGAAGAGCTCAAATGTTTTTGCAAACAGCGAGATATTGTACGTTTCTCTCACTGAGTTTAAACTTTAGCGTTTTTGAAAGTCACGACTGAATCTTGTGCTGAATTTTGTGCTGTTATGCCATTCTGTTGAACAACACACACACACACACACACACACACACACACACACACACACACACACACACACACACACACATAAATACATGTAAATAAAAATGCCAAAAAAAAAACATCAAATGTGTTTTTAGTCAGAGTATTATTTTATACAGAAACAAATATTTGTAATTCAGATAAGAATGAAGTTAGTGTTTTAAAAATCTTAGGAAAACAAATATATTGAAATATAGCACATGAATTTAAAATTCATTCAACTTCAATTACAAATACAATCTTACTTTTATTTAAAGCAATCTATACATTTAAAAGATGGGGGTTATATGCCTATTTTGTCATTTAAAAATATTGTTATGCAAAATTGTTATGCAAAAGACAAGGACTTAGAGACAAGGACTTGTAGGAAAAATCACCAGCCAGCCACACACACACACACATAAACACAGACA